ATCAAGGCGACCTATGCCGAGCTGAGCGTGCTGCACTCCGAGAAACTGCACGTGGACCCCGACAATTTCAGGGTAAAGTGGTGGAGCTAATGTAACGCTTGTTATTCATATTCAACGACCGATCTTTCATGTTGCTGATGTGCACTGGTGCTTGTTGTGTTGCAGCTCATTTCCGACTGCCTGACCATTGTGATCGCTGCTCAGATGGGTAAAGACTTCACTGGTGAGGTCCAGGCAGCTTTCCAGAAGTTCATCGCAGTGGTGGTGAACGCCCTGGGAAGACAGTACCACTAGAGAGCTGCAGCAGAAGACCATCACTGATCAATTGTTTTAAAGCTTTTGTTTTGTTTTTGTCTCAGAAACAAATAAAACAATGAGTTTAACGAGAAAACTCTTTGTCTGTGATGGTGTCCAAAACAAATTAGTTAACCCGGGACAAGACCATCCTTGGACCAGTGGGGGAATCTATTATCATTACACAAGAAACAAAGCTTGTATTTCTTTTTTTTAAATAACTATGATAAGCTATGATAAACCAAACATAGATAACGTTGTGAAACGATGGGAAAAGCATCTGCAAACTCTTTATGAAAAGGGTATTTTGACACAATCCAGCCTTTAACACCTTTTTTGATTGCGTCATAGATTTGTACAAAATATAAAAAGTCGGATGGACTTATGTACATTATTTTGGGACTGTTCTAAATTCGTTAAGGTGTGGTCATGTTGGGCTGTTTCCTTATGCACACGTCAACTCTTCTTTACAGTTGCGGTCATATGTTATTTCAGAGTGAATAGGATTTTTTATTTAACTATTTATTCGTTTATTTAGCCTAGTTATTTATTTTTATTACAGCTGTTACCGTTTCATAAATGCCCATGAGAGTAACTTTAATTGGACTCCACCCTCAGTGTTGCTGAACAGGCCTAAACAACAGCTGACTCTTGATAAACGCCATCATATTAAAGAAAGCATTACAAAAAAAGACAAACCATTTTTTTTGTATTCATATTTATTTATTATGTTCGGACTGAGCTCATGCTGCATGCTCCGTCATCTTCTCCTGCTGTTTATCGGTATTTCTCAGCCAGGGCCTGGGCCAGAGAAGCCAGGAACTTGTCCAGAGACACATGGACCTCAGGGGTGAAGTCGCTGGGAAACATGATGGCCAGGACCACAAGGATGCAGTGGGAGATGATCTGTGGAAACATATATGAAGTTTTTAGCTCCCGGATGGACATGTTGCAGGTGTGAAACCTTCAAGGCCCTATATGTCTGAGGGACACTTGATCTACATGACATGCTGTTATCTTTTAATGACTTTGGCACTGCACCTTGAAGTTGGCAGGGTCCACACGCAGAGTGAAGGCGTGCAGCTCACTGAGGGTCAGAAGACCTCCTTTCAGGTCGTCGATTTTGCTCACAGCATCTCCAATCCCATTCATCACAGTAATTCCGTGCTTCTTGGCAGAGGCAGAGGTCGGGCTCTGGTCCTTCCAGTGAGCAAAGTAAGTCTTGGTCTGCGGGTACACCGTCAGCATCCTGGGTAAATGACAACAAAAAGAGTCAGTATATACATTAATCAATAAATACTGGAGCCAACAGCAGACAGTCTTTGGTCATATTTACCTGGCCAGAGCTTCGGCCCCGATGTCCTCAGACTTCGGAGCTATCTTAGCCCAGAAGGTTCTGACTCTGTCCTTGTCCTTTGCAGAGAGACTAGTCATCTTGACTCTTTATTTTACTCGTGTTTACTGCTGTGATCCGCCTAAATCGCGGGGGTTTTATGCTTGGAGCAGAGAATGGGCACACCCAGGAGCACCTCTGAGATAGGCTGCTGTAAGGCGGTCCACCAAGCAGCGGGCATGAGATAAAGGCAAAATTGCATGCTAATCATCACAATAATTGTGGGCAAAATAGAAATTTGCTGTCGCATGCTTGTATACGAGCAAGTCAAAGCATAAGGCAGCATGTATTTTCATATCTGATCTCAGGGTCCTGCAAAAATTTCTCTGGAGCAAATAGCAATATATTTATTAACTATGACTTCAAACTGATCATCCGTGTTTGTGCGCACATGTTGTTGATCTCTGCTTAAAATGTTCAACCGTGCAGAAAGCAAGCAGTCCCAATTCAATCAGAATTCAAATCCAGGCTCTGCAATCGGGTAGTAGGGCCTAATAGATTTATTGAAAACTTTCCAACATAATTACCAACATCGTGTTCTGCTGCCAGGCCATACTTGGCGATTCTATGGCTTATCAAACCCAATGCCCTGCAGCTGGTACAGGGCGGGTCCACACAGAAGAAACAAATTGATAAGCTGTGTCGTTCAGCTGATAGTGCAGTGTAAGTTACACACTTCTGCCCTACATATCCGGAAACTGACTGTCAATTATAATCAAATGAGCAGAGAAATTGTTTTAGGGCTGGAGGCCTTTGGATGGAGGCAGAGTTGGGAGCTACAGAAGTCGGTGGCGGAGGTTTCTGTGAAGTGCTATAAAGTTTAGTTGATTCAAAACACACCCAAAACACACATTAAACATGTCTTGATAGAGACAATTTCAAACACAAGTACACAAATCGGCTTCACTATAACTCGCAGCATTCACAGACAAACACATTTTCCCCACAAATACAACATGCTAATGTTATTAGCACAAGCCTATGGCATTTTACATTGTATAAATTAGCCTAGCAGCTAGTGATCTTTTCCTCTTCTCATGTAAAACCAGGGACAACAGTAACATTTAACAAAGGTAACGGCACACAATTTGGCTCGGTTACAACTCACAAAGTTTACTGACAAAACAACTGTAACACTAAACAAATTTTCCAAACAAATACAACATGCTAATGCTATTAGCACAAGCCTTTGATATTTTACATTGCATAAATTAACCTAGCAGCTAGCAGACTTTTCCTCTACTCATGTAAAACCAGGGACAACAGCAACATTTAACAAAGGTAACAGCACACAATTTGGCTCGGTTACAACTCACAAAGTTCACTGACAAAACAACTGTCATACTAAAAACATTGTCCAAACAAATACAGCATGCTAATGCTATTAGCACAACCCTATGGCATTTTACATTGTATAAATAAGCCTAGCAGCTAGTGATCTTTATCTCTTCTCATGTAAAACCAGGGACAACAGTAACATTTACAAAGGTAACGGCACACAATTTGGCTCCATTACAACTTACAAGGATCACTGACAAAACAGCTGTCACACTAAACAAATTTTCCAAACAAATACAACATGCTAATGCTATTAGCACAAACTTTTGGCATTTTACATTGTATAAGTTAGCCTAGCAGCTAGTGATCTTTTCCTTTTCTCATATAAAACCAGGGACAACAGCAACATTTAACAAAAGTAATGGCACACAATTTGGCTCGGTTACAACTCACAAATTTCACTGACAAAACAACTGTCATACTAAACACATTTTCCAAACCAATACAACATGCTAATGTTATTAGCACAAGCCTATGACATTTTACATTGTATAAATTAGCCTAGTGACAAGAGATTTCCTCTGCTCTTATGAAGCCAGGATAAATCCCTGAAGGATAAATCACACACAAGACTTAAAATGCTATTTTTGTGGAGGCCTTATTGTCTTCACAATTTATTGTTTCTTATCTGTGAAAATGAGACACAGTGAGACACTGTTGAAATTGCACTTATTTTTCTTAAGACATCTCAGGCTGTTTGTCTGTTATGCAGAAGGATGAACATCTACAGAATGAACTTGTAATTCTTTACACAAAAAAGGGAAATATTGGCGCTGGTGGTTCTTATAGGTTATTGTGCAATGCTTTTATTGGTCCTGCTCATCTGGGATCAAACTGGGCTGTATTTGGCCCATGAACTAAAATGAGTTTGACACCCCAGAGTTAGAAGCACAAATATTAAGAATAAAATAATTGGAAATACAATCAACAATAAAAGCTGTAACGAACAGAGCCTGCCTCATAGAGACAAGACACACTGTTGTGACACACAATCAACTCAACAATCTCATAACAAAAACTCCTTGACCTCTGAACAACACTGTCATGGTGCAGACTGGGGGCATTGCTTACACTGGAGAACTTATCTCAGCAACCCCTCCCAAAGACAAGCAGCTGTCTGAGGAAAACAGCTGGTGCAATGATACGTGTTTTTCTTGAGACTGTGACTGGGGCACACTTAAAAAAAAAAACAGTACACATTATTGCAGTGTTTTAAAGTTCTAGTGTGTAGGGTTGAGTGACATCTAGTGGTGAGGCTGAAGACTGCAACCAACTAAAACTTCCTCTGTGTGCCAGGTGAGAAGGAGAACTATGGTAGCCTTTGGTTTGTCTGTTACAGACATGGCAGACCCTGTGGAAGAGGACCTGATCTGTATGTAGATATAATGGCACCATCTAAGGTAACAGACACAGGATACTTATTTTCAGGTGATTGTAAAATAATGAAAACACAGTTATGGAGGATTTTGAGGAAGTAGTTTGTCCTGACTGTGTGCATACTACATGCAACAGTACGTACTTTTTAAGGGCAGCTGCAGTACCTACTAGAAGTAAACAGAAAAAGTATGTGATTCAGAACGCACCCAAGTTGTTCAAACACTCCAGAGTTTGGGAAAAACCAAACTTCCTCCTCCTCTCTGTCAACATACCAAACGCTGCCAGCTACAATGCAACAACTCATCTTGATTTTAGTGATGGTTTAAGCTTGGCTCTACATCTAACAACAGCCTCGATTCAGGCTCAGTGTGTATTTACTTTCTTGCAGGAGCTACCTCAAAACGGCCCAACTATGTCCAAGGTAGGGTTGTTTGCATTTGCGAACACTGCTGGCCACGACTGGTGAGGATTGTAGAAGCAGATTAGGGATTTGCAGCAGAACTTCACCCACTTCAAAGGTGCATGGAGAAGGGAAAAGTCAGAAGAGATAAAACAGTTGTGTGCAGAGCAACTTTATTGTAAGACCAAAGCATTTCAGCATGTGGTGGATGACCACAAGCAAAGGCCACAAGCCAAAATGATTTGGGCTAACAATAAGGTTGTTCCATATACTCCAAATGTTACTGGTGTTTTACCTCTTTATTGTTACCTCCTTGTTTAAGCATTTTTGACACATGATAAATAGCTGAGTCCTCTTGCTTCTCGTCCAACTCCCCAGTTGGACCTGATAATGTTTTTGAAGGACTAGAAAACCTTTAGAGCAGATGGGCCTGAATGTCATGACTTGAAGATGGCAACTTTCCCATTGAAAGGGAAAAAGGAGTTGTTATGCACTGTCAGTGCAGCATTCTTGCCTGAACATCATCATAAATACATGGTAGAAGAACTGGCTAACAGTCGGCACCATAACAGTGCAGTTTACAGCCAGAAATGTTTAATCAAGATGTTTAGATCCTACTTGGTCAAAACACAATTCTAACCTGATGAAAATCCAAGTAGGATCAAAATGTCTTCATTAAACTTTTGTGGCATGGAGTACATGTGCAGGTATTGCTTTTTTCCATCATGTATACTTTTTTTTGATAGCCTTGCACCTACATGTTGTGCATATAACTATTCTCCCTCAACAAGTTGAAAAAGAAAGCCAATCCACACAGCTTATCGCAGGAGTACTTACCGTGAGGCAGACAGTAAGTCATACAGCATTTGGTTATTCTCTGGCTTCACACATGGAGTTTTGCATAGGAAGGAAACTGGACCCCTGGTCCTCCATAAAACTTGTTCATTTTAATTATTTCCAGGCATGAAGCAGCACTTCAGACAGTAATCGGAGCTAGAATTAAACACCTTACACATAGGCTTTGCATTAAACAAGAAGAAAAGGACCATGTTTAATGTGTGGGAGCTTCATCTACTTCATATGGTCTGCCTCCTGATGTGTAATGAATAGGTTGTAACCCAGTTAATGTCTCCTGCCCATGGTGCTCTAACTTCAGGCATGGTTAAAACCTCACCTAGCCTATCTCTTCCTGTCAACCTGTTTTTTGGGATGGGTTTGTGTTTGAGCATCCATTAATTGAGCTTTTTTTCTGTGTGTATCTAGGGCCAGTGTCCAGCTGCATGATCTCTGGCACCACAGTGGGATTCTACCAAACTACAATCACCGTGCAGAAGGAAGTGTGCATCTACTCATGGACAGGAGGCTCATGCTTGTGACAGCACAAGATGTAAACATCAATGGTGTCCTCCACGGCTGAGCTGTAACATGAGCTAGCTCAGTGGTGCTGGGTGAGCTAGCAGTACATGCATATCTCCTTCTGCGCAGAGATACGGTTGATGGGTGCAGTTTTGTAGAAAGAAAGTAGTTCCTGGATGAAATTGTTCACAACCAGGTCTTGCGATTACCAGGTCATCATGTCTGGGAAGAGGCATTGCTGTTAAAGTTTTTCATTTTATTTTTTATTCATTTTTTGGCATTTTGAGCACAACAGGCAGACATCTGTATACGGTTGATATCTCACTCTAAAAAATGATTCATAGGGTTTGGCTAAAAATTAAGTTTTCAGCGTTAAAAATGATGCTTGTTACATTCAAGTGTTTTTATCTGTTGAAAACTTATTTTAAGAAGTTGGTCAAGATTAAAGCATTTTGTTACACTTTTAAGTAGAATGAAATTAAGATAAATACGTTAGAATATCTTAAATAAAATAGTTTGTGCCTACATTTATAATGTTGCCGAGAGTGAAAAGAATGAAACTGAATTGAAACGTACATATGAACATGAAACAGGTCACTACAACTGGGACAGTTTTGATGGTTTGGGGCCTGATGATGATGTGAACGGTGTGTTGATGCAGACTGAGAGAACATAATTAACTGTTTGTGTTAGAGCGCCCTCTTGTGGACATAATCCAACATGCCCAATGAAAGATGGATCAACTGACTTCAAGTCTGTAAAAAACATTACAAAACAAATATAAAATTAGGATTGCTGCCTCACACTTGTGTGACTGTCAGTCAAGTTACAGTTAACATCCATGTCTGTCCAGACTCATATGTAGCCATGACAGGTGAAAATCCTTCGAATATGGATTTTGCTGCAAAGAAGCTACAAATTCCAAAACAGGGATGCTTCACACACATCTTCAACCAGGCAGCACAGACAATCTATACAAAGTGTCTCCCCTTCTGTTGAGAGTTGTGGCATTGAATAATGGCCAGAGTAGAGTTTTTGCACAACATTATGATGTCACAGTGACGCTGACCTTTGCTTTTTTTAGATATAAAATGTCATCAGCATTTATTATGTTGGGCATTTGTGTGAAATGTTGTCATAGTTAGTGTATGAATTCTTTGGCCTAAAGCATGTTTTGTGAGGTCACAGTGACCATTGACCACCTATATCATCAGGTCCAAGCAGACGTTTGTGCCAAATTTGAAGAAATTCCCTCTAGGACTTTTTGAGATATTATGTAGAGGAAAACATGTGTGTATGGATGTGGCACTGAGACAAAAGGTCAATTTTGATGTGAACACTGACGCGTCTGTAAGAAGGCAAACTAATGCTTATTCTTTTTCAGGAAGCTGAGGAGTTTGGATGTAGAAAGGACAATCATGTTCTGCTTTTACTGAGTCCGTTCTTTCTGTTAACATTGTCTGTTGGTTCGATAATCTGAGCCTTAAAAACAAGAACAAGTTGGAGAAGATGGTCATGTTGTAATAACCTACAGTATCTGTATGAAGCAAGGGTCACCTTTAAAGCTCTGCCTATTGTCTCAGACTCTCAACATCCCCTCCATGTTGAGTTTCGCATGCTTCCATCAGGGCGGAGGTTTTTCCTCCCTAAATGCAGCATCAAGTGTTACAGATCGTCCTTTGTCCCATCTGTTATCACTTATCTTAACCAGCAGTGACCTCTAATGTCCATGATTTACCCCTGACAGTGTGAGATACTGGATTCTGTGTGATTCATGTATAGACTGTCTGTTTTGTTGTACTCATGGCCACTGTCTGTATCTCAAATCACCCCTTGGTGACATTAAAATTTTACCTTACCTTACCTTAAACATATGCAAAAAAAAAAAGGTCCTTTAATTCATGTTTTACCCCTAAGAGACACATTGTTATGCTGAGCTACACCATTTTATTAGAACTCACTATAATGCTGCACATCTGCTAGTGCACACTGTTTTCATCCCTCTGTGCTGGTGATAGCCATGGCCCGAGGCGCTTTTATTTTTGGGCTGTCTGTCCATCTGTCCATTCCCCCTTACTTGTGAAATCACTATCTCTAAAATGTCCGAGGGGAATTTCTTTAAATGTGTCATAAATGTCCACTTGGACTTGAGGATGATTAGATTTTAGTGATCAAAGGTCATAACTGGCCATAACTCAACACAAATGTCTAATAGAGTTAAGTGATAAGGTGATGACATTTCATATCCAAAAGGTCAAAGGTCAGCTTCACTGTGACATCATAATGTTATGCAAAAAACATTTCTCTGGCCATTATTCAACACCATAACTCAGCAACAGAAGGGAAGACGTGGTCAGATACTGAATTGGTGACTGTGCGGATTGTATAGCGTCTGTGCTGCCCGGTTAAAGATGTGTGTGAAGCATCCATGTTTCCCAATTTGCAGCTTCTTTGCAGCAACATCTATATTTGAAGCTTTGTTTACTGTCACGAATACATGAGTCTGGACGGACATGGATGTAAAGTGTAACAGCAACTTGACTGTGAGGCGGTAATTCTAGTTTATCTTGTTTTACATCATAAGAAAAAATAGGCATTTATTTATCTCCAGAGGGGAAATTCAGGTGTGATTACATGCAAACACAAGTAATACTGAATAAATGCAATAGAAACAGTGTGGTCCACATTTATTAATTCATTGTTTTTCCAAAAAAATGCACAAATTAGAAGAGGAGAAACAAAGTCTAGAATTTTACATAAACCTTCATCAAACATAAACTAAAGAGCTGTGCGATTACATAAAGTAGGTGTGAGCTTAAAAACTCTAAATGTATAAAAAGATAGGTACTTAAATTAAAAAAAAAAATCGTTTATAAAAATTCAGTTGCTTAAAAGTGAATATGAAAAATTGTGAAAAAATCTTTAAAAAGTAATAGAAACTTTTGACATCAATAGCCTATGCACTTTTGTTCAAGGAATTTGATTGTAGGCATAATAACTACCAGTTTATATTGACATATATTATTCTGATATTCACATCTTACACGGCACGTCCTTTAAAGACCCCAATCAGTCACTTTCTGGTTCCCTGACAAATCTTACTAGCACGACCACAGTGGAGGTGGCTACACCAGTACTCTCAGTCATCTTGACAAAGTCTCGTTAAATCTTAAAGCACAGAATATTACAAACACAGATACTCTCTAATCTTTCCCCGCTACCATCAGAAATACCTTCACGTATAAAAATACAAAGACCATAGTACCGTAGCCTTCAGAGAATAATGCTGACTTCTGTCTTCCATCACGCTGATGCTAGGCCTGTGCTAATATCATCACCACACATATACAGTGTCACAGAGCTGATAGGAGAGATACATCTTTGGGTTTATTTTGGGAAAGGTGGTCGACACATAAAAGTCAGCCCGGGAAATAAAAACCGTGATCCTTGGAGGTCCTGAATTAAGTCAGAATTTTAAAAAAAATCAATATCAAAAATACTCTAGTACTCTAGGAGTAAATAAATCTTGTGTATAAATATTGGTCTACTGTTGAAGTTGTGTTTCTGTATAAGATTTTTGTAGCACCAATGAGCTACTTGATGCAAGGACACTTTTCCATGAGAGGGGTGGCTTTTGTTATTCCAAGTGATGGTCACACACGTAACGATGCTACTGTGGAAGAGCTATTGTACACATTACAATGAAAACACATCGCTCTGTAAAGCAACTAACATGAGATTCATATGGAATAAAACAACACGTGTATAATAATGAACTGTAAAATGAAATTTTGTGAACAGTTTTGACTTGTAAGTGCCGCTAAAAACAGTGTCAACAACTTGGATCACTGCAAGACTGGATTGATGTCTGTACAGCTGCTAGATGTTCAGCTATTCTACCACACAACCAACACTGTGATTTAAAAATAACCACAGTGTACAAAAAGCAGTGGATAACAATGGTGCAAGCTGTCATGTAATTATCTGCACATTATAATGTACTTAAATTATAGAGGGTGAGAACAAAACACACACAAGTTCATTGTTGCTCTTAATTACACAGATGAAAATAAAAAAAAAAAAAAATCACACTGTAATATGAGTAGTTACTGTGGATCCGCTGTAGTAGGCCATTATTTTGTTTCACCGGCAGGAGGAGAGGAACCCAAGAGAGGAGACTTTGGGGAAACCTAGACAAGTTTAAAAAACAAAATATTATTGGAAATAAGGGTGCGATTTCTGAACTCTATAAAGGTCTTACAACAAGAAAACCCCACACGACAGAATAGAGAAGGTAATTTTTCAATATCGAATGAGGACTGGCTGGATATGTGTAAATTTCAGTCGAAATGCAGCAACTCACACATGTGGCGTGAGTTTGGGTGGAAATGTTTTATTCATTTTTTTATTACACCGAAGCACAAAGCACATTTTGCTGGAGGGGACGCCAAGTGCTGGAGACAGTGTGGGTGTCAGGAGGCCAGTGATTAGACCTTTCTGGACAGAATTTGATACAGCACTAAAAAAGATACTTAACACTGATCTTCCTTTGCAATTTTCTATATTATTTTTCGGATGTACAGTACAGGCCAAAAGTTTGGACACACCTTCTCATTCAATGCGTTTTCTTTATTTTCATGACTATTTACATTGTAGATTCTCACTGAAGGCATCAAAACTATGAATGAACACATGTGGAGTTATGTACTTAACAAAAAAGGTGAAATAACTGAAAACATGTTTTATATTCTAGTTTCTTCAAAATAGCCACCCTTTGCTCTGATTACTGCTTTGCACACTCTTGGCATTCTCTCCATGAGCTTCAAGAGGTAGTCACCTGAAATGGTTTCCACCTAACAGGTGTGCCTTATCAGGGTTAATTAGTGGAATTTCTTGCTTTATCAATGGGGTTGGGACCATCAGTTGTGTTGTGCAGAAGTCAGGTTAATACACAGCCGACAGCCTTATTGGACAACTGTTAAAATTCATAATATGGCAAGAACCAATCAGCTAACTAAAGAAAAACGAGTGGCCATCATTACTTTAAGAAATGAAGGTCAGTCAGTCCGGAAAATTGCAAAAACTTTAAATGTGTCCCCAAGTGGAGTCGCAAAAACCATCAAGCGCTACAACCAAACTGGCACACATGAGGACCGACCCAGGAAAGGAAGACCAAGAGTCACCTCTGCTTCTGAAGATAAGTTCATCCGAGTCACCAGCCTCAGAAATCGCAAGTTAACAGCAGCTCAGATCAGAGACCAGATGAATGCCACACAGAGTTCTAGCAGCAGACCCATCTCTAGAACAACTGTTAAGAGGAGACTGCGCGAATCAGGCCTTCATGGTCAAATAGCTGCTAGGAAACCACTGCTAAGGAGAGGCAACAAGCAGAAGAGATTTGTTTGGGCCAAGAAACACAAGGAATGGACATTAGACCAGTGGAAATCTGTGCTTTGGTCTGATGAGTCCAAATTTGAGATCTTTGGTTCCAACCGCCGTGTCTTTGTGAGACGCAGAAAAGGTGAACGGATGGATTCCACATGCCTGGTTCCCACTGTGAAGCATGGAGGAGGAGGTGTGATGGTGTGGGGGTGTTTTGCTGGTGACACTGTTGGGGATTTATTCAAAATTGAAGGCACACTGAACCAGCATGGCTACCACAGCATCCTGCAGCGACATGCCATCCCATCCGGTTTGCGTTTAGTTGGACGATCATTTATTTTTCAACAGGACAATGACCCCAAACACACCTCCAGGCTGTGTAAGGGCTATTTGACCAAGAAGGAGAGTGATGGAGTGCTGCGGCAGATGACCTGGCCTTCACAGTCACCGGACCTGAACCCAATCGAGATGGTTTGGGGTGAGCTGGACCGCAGAGTGAAGGCAAAGGGGCCAACAAGTGCTAAACACCTCTGGGAACTCCTTCAAGACTGTTGGAAAACCATTTCAGGTGACTACCTCTTGAAGCTCATGGAGAGAATGCCAAGAGTGTGCAAAGCAGTAATCAGAGCAAAGGGTGGCTATTTTGAAGAAACTAGAATATAAAACATGTTTTCAGTTATTTCACCTTTTTTTGTTAAGTACATAACTCCACATGTGTTCATTCATAGTTTTGATGCCTTCAGTGAGAATCTACAATGTAAATAGTCATGAAAATAAAGAAAACGCATTGAATGAGAAGGTGTGTCCAAACTTTTGGCCTGTACTGTATGTTTCCTTTCTATTGCTGCTCTGCATATGATGCAGATATGTGTGATGGTGCTTTGTGTTGCTTTCATGTCTGTTTGTGCCAACAAGCTGTTTGTTGTTGTTGTGTTATTGTATTGTACTGGTGCTCTGCTGTTGCTTGTTGCTTTGCATGGCTTCTGTTCTACCTTGATAATTTCTGTTTGCTGTAGTTAATGCTGTCTTTATGTCTTTGTGCTGTCTTTGTCCTGTGAATTGTCCTGTGAATGTTTTACGCCAAAGGACTGCAGTTGAAAATTAGCCAGCTGGCTAACACTGGCACATTTACAGAAATGTTGATTAGTGTGCATTGTCCTTGTTGCATGCTCTCGGGATCTTGATTATGTGGTACAAGGTGGTCAAAAAACTCAAACTGTCTTAAGTCTGTTTTTTCGTCGTGACTTTCAGACTTTCAAATAGGTTGAATATCATCAGAAGTTTTTTGTCTTGGCTCATGTAAATAGTGAAGTAAAATGACAAACAGCAAACCGGAGAGACAGTAAACATGGAGGGGACTCTAGGAAGGAGTAAGAATGTGATGCTTCTCTTGTACTGTGGAAAAGTATAGTCACCGTTCTGACGTTCTGTCACCGTGTGACTAAAAACTCACATCATCTTTAGATGTTAGAGGGCGTCAGACTTAAGTCTCTTTAGTCTTTTTAATGTCTTCTGGTGTATGGTAGGCATTACTAAGGCAACAATAATTGGACAAGTCAGTTGCCAATGTCGTTCTTTATATGACAGTACTCACAGGAGAAGGAGGCTTCGCAAAGTTGAGGTGAGCATACAGAAGCACAGCAATGTCGTTCTGGCTGGCCTCCAGTGCTATGGACAGAGCAGTGCTGCCGTCCTGTAAGAGAAGAGACAATGATGGTGAGGTGATGGGTTTTTGGGGGGGGGTCTGTCAAAAAAAAAAACCAAAAAAACAAGAGGGAGACATAGAAAGGAAATATATGCTTACATTGTCAGTGAGAGTGGCATCACAGCCCGGCACAGACAGCAGCTGACGCACAATGTCCACGTGACCGTGTTCGCAGGCACACATGAGTGCTGTGGAGCCGTCGTCATCACGGATGTTGACCTGTGCCCCGCAGGACAGAAGCGCCCGCACCATGTCCCCTCGACCGTGGCTGACCGCTAGCATCAACGCCGTCTGACCGGCCTACAGACACGCATTTAAAATCTTTAAACTTAGATCTAACTTTAGAACTAATTGTCATTAAGACACATTAGTGAGCAGAGTTTTGAAAAGCACATGTAAATACTCTTTAATTCAAGTGGGTTTGGTTGTGTGAGGAGGTGCAGTAAGATGTAATGAGCAGTAGAGGGAGCACCTGGCTGGCCTTGGCGTTGACGTCCCCAGTGCGCAGCAGCTGCAGGACGGTTTCAAGGTCACTGTCAGAGTGGAAGGCGGCCAGAGCTGTCAGCATGATGGCCGTGTAGCCCGCCTTGTTCTGCTTGTCAGCATTACACAGGCCTGTCAGGTATATAGGGCAATCAGTGTGACAGGTGATACGGCAGCAGCACAAACAGTGACAGGGATGTGTGACGTGTTGGAGGTACAAATGTTTTTGTGTGACACTCAAACCTGAGGATTTTGTACAGGAAAATCTTGAAACATCTGACTCAGTGGAATGAAAACTTTTCATCTATGAGTTTAAAAGCTCTCTCATACACATACACACACACACAAAGCTCACCAGTGTCCAGCAGCAGTTTCACCACAGGGAAATTGGAGTGGGAGACGGTGTAGTGAAGCGCCGTGTTCCCGTTGCCGTCTGCCATGTTGATCACAAACTCCAGCAGCTGAGGGGAAACTGAGGCGAAGGTGTTCATATAGGCCTTGACAACAGCCGTGTCCGCTGCTTTGTGACAGGACACACGCAGCCACTCCTGCAGCACGGTGGTGTAGGCTGCCCTCTGAAATCAGACACAATGAGGACGATTAGAGACACATGCACACTTGATGGACTGTTGGAGAAATGCGAGAGCACAGGCATGGAGACTGACCATGATGAGCATATCAGAATCAAAAATGAGAAAAAGGTTTTGATGGAAACCAAAACTCAGAGGGAACATTATGGGAAATAAATTGTTTGCTCTTCCAGGAGTTGCAAAAATAAACTGTCTTCTTGACTAATTCAAACATTTGAAGAAAAAACTATAACCTTGAGTGTGCACTTCAAGATATTCACTTTTCCACAATAAAATGTCTTAAAACGACTGTCAGTGGCACCATATCCCCTTCGCGCATGCATCAGGGATGTAGTTGTCTGCCAGTAACTGTCATATATTGACTTGTAAGCCAATTTTAAGCCAAATTCTTAAAACACACTTTTCAGATTTTTGTTGATTTTAAGTATATATTTAACTGGATGAAGGATTTTAATCATCACATGTCTGGATCTTCAGTTATCAGACAAACAAGCTGAGGAAACTTTAGCGGCAGCTTGGCTCCAGCCCCTGCTGTGCCAAACAGCATCGAAGAAACACAGATTTTTAAACTTAAAACTGCTTTATTCAGTGTTATAGAGAGGAAGAGACCTCTGCGGATAACTCGGCTTCTATTAAAAACCTCCTGAAAATCTGGATCTTAAGTTATTAGAAAAATGAGCCCACATTAACAGGATCTGGAGTAGCAGTCCCTTTGCAATGAGCCAATCGGTGTCGTGACTTTTAACGTGAAACTGCTTTCGTCTATGTTTTCACCAGTTTTAATCACCTGGTCTGTTTGTTTTGGAGAGGAAGAGACCACTGTGGATAATTCGGCTCAACAATAAACACTGAGGGAATCCTGCTGGAGAAACTGACTGCGATGACGGCATTGCTCTGACCTCTAGCAGCTGAAAATTACATACTGTACGCTTCAGATGAATCCATTTTTGAGGAGCTGTGCTTTTGCTTGGTCGTGTTTCTGCTTGTTGTCAGTGTGATCGCTTTTAAAAAGGACACTCCTGGCTTTCCTGGGAAGCAGCAGAATCAATACAGAGTGGATTAGTCTGGTTAAATACAGTGAATTAAATGAACACCTACTGCTCCCTGCTGGCTGAAGGCATTGGGTTCCCCCAGGGCTTTCTGCAGGGCATGAAGAGCCGACATCAAGCTGTCACTCAGGTCCACTCTGAGAGAGACGAGGAGACAACATCAGTCACTGATGCTTCATCGTACCACTATATCAGCTGTCTGTCAACCATGTGTTTATTTACCTGATTTGCTTGGTCGATGCTGTGGCAGTGTCGTGTGTGATGCTTTCAGCTGCTGGCTTTGGCTCTGATTGGCTGGAGGGGACGGTTGTTTCTGACAGGACGGTGTATGTTTGCTCAGTGGTTTTAGTGACACACAGCGATGAAGAGCTGGTAACTGAGGACGTTATGGAGCTTTGATCAGAAGCGGATTCAGTGCTTGATGACGTGGAGGTGATCTCCTGTGTGACTGCGAGTTTTTCCGATGACAGGTCAACGCTCTCTTTAGAGGCGGCGTCTTTTGCTGGACATGGAGGAGTAAGAGCGGAGTCGGAGGCCGGTGCTGGTGACTCGGGGGCTTTGTCTGGCAGTCTTGTGTCTACAATTGCAGGCTGGTTGGGACTCTGCTGCGAGTCTGGAATGACGGCTGGTGGTTTGACGGCAGTCTGTTGAGGTACGCTGTTGCTTTCTGGAGGCTGGGAAGCTTTGCTGTGGGTTATTTGCTGGTGCTGGATTGCGTACTCTGGCAGTTTTTCTCTGGCTTCGTGATACTCACTGGAGTCGCTCCCCTCGTCTGAGCTCTCGCTGCTGCTGTCGTCTGATGATGTGGACTCGTAGCTGCAAGACGAGAACACATTTCATTGTCAAACAGGTCAAAGTCTTTGCAATTTACACCCGTTTTAACACTGTATATAAGCAGCATTTCTTCTCAGCGGTGTAGTCACTTCAATGTTGGGTATTTGGACATGCTGCATATCTTCTTTTTTTTTGTTTCAGGGAAGTCTGCTCTATAGGATTGTGAGTAAATATTGCATTGAGTTATGAAATATTTAAGTATTGCTCACTACTTGGGTCTTGAGGAGCTGCAGCATTTATTCATGGCCAATCTGAAACATGCACTGTAGGTTTACTACTGTGCTAAACTTTACCACTAATTTCTTTTCTGCACTGAGCTCAGCGGGGTGGAGGCCAGTAAGGACAATGAGAGTTTCTCTGCCTCTCCTGCAGCATTTGTTCAATTAGCAGTCACATCTCTTGATCCTCACTTTGCAAAAACAAATAACATGATATGTCACAAAACTGTGTTGCTACATACCCTTGCTTATTTTTATAGAGGTATATGAAAATCGTGGAGCTACACCCCTGCTTCTATTTTAATACTGACAGTACACCCTCGGTTGGGTGTACTGGATGGATACAGTGGGTGAAAATGACTGACACCTACCCTCCATTGACTCCAATGAACTGTAGGTTCTTCTTTGTGGAGGGAGATCCTGGTTCACCTTCTGCTTTCCGCTTCATAATGGACCTCAGAGAAGACTGGGGAGATGAGGCTGAAAAGACACCAGTGATTATACAGAGTGAGTCGCAACATGACGTGGTTAAAGTTGATGATGGTCAAGGTGTGTTCTGAGCAGAGTTCAGTCCAGTTACCTGTTTTAGGTCCTTCTTGTGACTGCACAGCCTCTGTGGGTGCATGCAAGTGCGTGTCTTCTTCTTTTGCGGGCAACAAACTAATCTGATTACCCAACGTGCTGATGGCGATGGCAGGGCTAGCTACAGGTACCGAAGTGGACAACTCGCTCTTGAGGACATCGCGCACCTGCTTGGAGCTGACTGCGATCGGCAACTCAACTGGAACATCTGTGAGACAGTAAGAAGACTTTAACTTTTCAGCTTTAACTGATCACAGATCTAATGTACAACACAATAAAACAACAGCAAACTACTTCAGTCACTTCAAGGCAGTAAATCCTGCCTTATAATTATAAATTTTAGTGTCAGAGACCTTCGGCTTGTCCTCTGTGGTGGCCCTCCACAACTCCAGCAGCTGGCTGAATGGACGGGGAGCTGCACATCTCTGCTCGGAGCAGAGTGCCCACCTCCACCACAGTGGGCTGCTCCAGTGTGTACACCTGGATTCCCACAGTTCTCTGTTCTTTCTGCTGGGGCAGCTGTGTGAAGCTGACCAGAGTGTGCAGGCTGCAGCCTTGTGGTTCCTGCCAGCCCATGCTGGTAGCCATGACCGGATGCTCTGCCTGAGGCGCCTTCTGGACTGCTGCGACCTGCTGCTGTGCATCGTGCAACTCCTGCACCGTCCTCTTTAGCTGGCCCTCAAGTTGACCCACTTGATTCCTGAGAGCCTCTGTCTCTGGCAGTAGCCCCAGGTCCTCCTCCCGAACCCCGACTCCCACCTGACGACTGCCTTTCAAGACCTCTGGTCCCACTCCTATGGTCCGCACTTCCCTCTTTGCATCTGGTCGTGCTCCACCCACAATCACTGTGTCCTCAATCTCACACCCTGAATCCTGAAGCTTGGAGCCCTCAGGTGTGGTGGGAGACAGAGGTCCTGCTGGCTTGTTGCTGCTCTTAGCTCCAGTGCTCACCTCTTCTTCAGGAATGTCAATGTAGAGCTCTCCTCGGGAACGACCTCGGTTGAATCCCAGACTATGACCCAGGAACTTCTGGCTCTTTAGCTGGACGCTGAGCTGCCGTTTCTCCTCCTGCAGCACAGAGATTTTGACCTGCAGCACAGGGATGGTCTTCACCTGCTCCTCCAGCTCTCTTATCTTCCTCAGGGCCGCAGCCATCTGCTCCCTGACATGCTGCAGGTGGGCTGGTGTTGGGGTCACTGGTGTGGACAGGCCAGAACTCAAAGGGGTGAAGGATCCACCTCCACCATGGGCTCGGTTGAAGCTGTGCGCACTGCTGAGAGAGGTGTTTGAGCCTGCTACGCTGCTGTGCATGCTGCCAAGGTTAGAGAATCTCCGTCCCTCTTTCTCCTCCTCCAGCTTCCTGCGTGCATCCAACAGGGTCTTCTCCACCCGGGCAGTGCTGAAGTTTGGCCTCTGCGACGTGTGGTAGCCCGGAGCACAGTAAGAGAAGGAGGAGTGTCGGCTGTCCATGCTGGTGTTGGAGCACAGGGACTCTGTGGAGGTCCACCAGGAGCCAGTATAGCCATAGCCACGGGGCAGGGAGCCATAGCGCGGCCGGCGTTGGATAGGCACCTTCTTGATGGTGTTTCCTTTCTCTATGTCGTTGACATACTTGAGGAAGTCTAGGTCCAGACGGTAACCATAGGGGGTCTCCACTGAGTAGGGCGCCTCCTGTTCTTTGCCGTGCAGGGAAGGGGGAGCAGGCGGGTTGAGTTTCCCTGCGGGGGAAGGAAATCAACTTTAAACAAACGGATATCTATGTCTAATCTTGGGCTCAGACTTTAGAAAAAAAGCATTAACTTTGGGCGACTGTGTATTTATATATTTATTCTGAAACAATCAGCAAATTAGGAACAAAGTGGAACGGCACAGTTACTATACTGGTCAACTGGTATACGTACATGGGAGTTATCCGACAGTTTAAATCTTAATAGAAGTAATTACTTATCTTAAAATAACTTCTTTATCATGGGGAGTTATACAAGTTAAAAGAAAAAATAAAGAGCAGCACCTGGGAAGCCGGGGTCCATATGCAGCACCTGAGCCATAATGAGCCTGTGGCTGCTATTCAAACAGTCACCCACAAACTCTCACCTGTAAAGAGACAGACATGTTAATGTTAAACATGGACATCTTATAAACAGGCCATTCTCACAGCAGACATTTTGACTTGTTAAAGTATGAAAAGCACAGGTGTTACTAATAACACGAAGGATGGCTCTGTATTACTCATGTGTTCCAGTAAGAGTGATGGCGAGCAAGCATGCACAGCACCAGAACCCTGAAATCAAAGCAGCTAAATGGAATTCAGCCATCCTTAATTTTATTATTTACACTTGTGCTTTTCCTACGCTGACAAGTCAAAATGCCCTCAGTGAAAAATGCACATGGACTACAGAGATGTGAGGACTCATATGGTTTGGATACTGGCAATAATTTTTTGAAGCAACATCACACGAGACTGAGTGTTCAGCCTGCAACCTCATGCCTACGACCAACTTACAGCCGTGATGATATTCAGTATAACAGCACTTCCTCTTGTGTAATATAGGTTTATTACAAGTGAAATGTATTAGTTAACAGCAGAGGTGTGGACTAGAGTCACACGACTTGGGTCACAAATCTGATGACCTCAGACTCAACTTGACTCAGACTTCAAGACTCCATGACTTCACCTGGACGTGAGCCTTTGACCTGAAAATACTGGATACCTTTCCTTATTAAGCCAGTTTGGGAAGTGAAAGATATACACATTTTTGCCCAATATCAGATGAGTTAAATACAAGACGAGACAGTAACATACAAAACTAACTCTGTTGTACTGGTTAATAGTGCTGTATGCTATGAAAGTGCAATTCCAGCGTTATTGTTTTATGATTAATTCTTGCGCACTTGTTTTAACAAACTTGACTTTAGTTAAATACAATCTTTGAAAAGCATCCACGATTTTTGTAAATTAACTCTGCTGTAAAAATGGCATTAAATTTGGTGAAGAGCAAATTATGACTTGGGACTAGTCAGTCATGACTTGGGGTTTGAGTGCAAAGACTTGAGACTTATTTGTCATTTGCAAAACGATTATGGATACCACATGTGGTTACGACAACAGATTACTTTTTGTTTGTTTATTTAATCATCATCATTTGGCTCCTCCAGTTCAAACAGTGTTGTAACTGGACTGGGACCAGACTGTTGCTCAGCTACAAATAAACACACCTGCACATGAGCTTGCAACTTTATGTAGGTCTAAATGTTACCGCAGTCTGTTTCCATTCATTGTGCAACCAGTGAAATAAGAGTCTGTTGACAGTCGCTTTGGTGGCGTGTGTGATGTCAGTGACTTAACAGACAGTATGCTGTGACATCAGCTGATGTCATGTGAGCACACCTGGAAGTACCTTCGTCCTTTTCTAACAAACATTCATCGTGTAACTCAAATGTTACTTGTGGAAATATGTTCATCTTTGTGGTGCAAACGTTACGACATCTGTTAATATAGGCTAATTAACAGTAAACACAATTAACGGCTTAAAGCAGAGTGATACATGCACAATCAAAAATCCCAGTGATCATGTTCTCAGCACTCATGGAACGCCTTTTGTCCATTCAAATTACTTGGTATAATGTCTCTTTCTGAACAATGTGTTCAATGGTACAATGGTCAGAAGCCGTGTTAGTGTTTTTTCACCCTCCTGCTCGACTGTCTAATTTTATCTGTTCATTTTTGGGAGCGTAATGGGTCACAGTCGAGCGTGTGTTTGTTTCTGTTCTCAGCGCTCGGAGAAGAGGAGTTACAGAGGAAAGTTTCCTGGCAGCTAATTCCAGGACAGAGGTTTGAGACTGCCAGTTACAACCTTATTAGGAATCATCTGTGCACGCTAACTGCGCCTCTCAATTTAAGGTTTACAGACACTCTCCTCTTTCTCTCCCTCACTTTCCCCATATCTTCCCCCTCCTGGGTCTTCTCTTATCTGCCTTCTTTTTTTGTGTTTTTCTGCTGCTTTCTCCCTCTCTCAACGTCAGCTGACGATCAGGAGGTTTCAGCTGGTCACTGTCTCCCTCGTTCCCTCCGCATTCACTTTGCTCAGTAGTACTTCCACACAGAAAGCAAAGTCGACTGCTGAGAACTTCAGTACATTTTTCACACCAGAGGCCTTTTGACTCTATAAACAAAAAAATTGTGCTTTTTCCTCCTACAAAGAAAAACACAGTGCCAGAAACAACATAAAGCTCACATCGCCAGTGCCTCTAACTTTGTGTCTGCTTGGAAAAGATTAACTTTCTAGGTCATCACTTTGTGGGAACTGGGGATGTAATGTTTAAGCCATCCACAGCATTACCCAGTCGAACATCGTTATATTACTTTAGACTTTAAGGAGCTAAGATCAGAAGTATGGACAGTTTGTTTTTTAGGGCATGTTAAGTTCACTTCACTTTAAGGCTGCTTTTTTTCTTTCTTCAGCAAAAACTGAGTCTCTCCTCTCTAAGTCCAGCTCTTTCTTTCTCTCTCTCACTCGCTCTCGTGCTATCTTGTGACCTTAGTCAGTGCTTGCTCGTTTGTGAAAAGTAGGCCACTTGGAAACACTGACTATATTGACTTGGTATTTTTGAAGTCCTGTAGTCAGTTTAATGTCCTAGTGCGATTCCCCTTATCTGTGCCCCTTCATCACCCTCTCATACCAAGACTGCCACTCACTGTAAGGCATGGAAATACTGTACCCACACACATTCAGACCCATTTTAACAACAGCAGAACCAAGAGTACTTCTTCGCCCATTGTGATAAGGAAAGACCGACACCAAGCCAACTATGTTTTAGCTTACAAATGAGGAATTTATTAGATGTCCGACATGTCAATTTTAAAGGGACAGTTCACCCCCGAATCAAAAACACATATTTTCTCTTTTACCTGCAGTGCTATTTATCAGTCTTGACTGTTTTGGTGTGAGTTGTCGAGTGTTGGAGATATCAGCCGTAGAGATGTCTGCCTTCTCTTGACTATAATGGAACTAGATGGCACTCAGCTTGTGGTGCTCAAAGCATTTGTCTTTCCAGATATCATGACTTGGTTACTCTAGATTATCCACAGACCTTGTTGTGAGCAGTTTCATGTAGGAACTTTCATTTTCTTTCCACCAAACTACACCTGCCAACTGGATCACCGTGTAGAGGTAAATGGGAATCTTTTCCTCGCTCACCTAGCATCACTTGGCTAGCTTAAGCCCCATTTCCACCGAGCAGTAGGCGATGGTTCAGTTCAGTTCAGTACGTTTTTTTTATCCGTTTCCACTGTGAGAATTTGTGGATGGTACCAATGGAACCGTTCCGTACCGTCCCCATTTTTGGTCCCCCCTCTGTTGGGGTACCTAGCACATAGATCTGGTACTAAACGGTGGAGCTGTGAACACTGCAGTCTGTTGATTGGTCAGTAGCGTATGGTCACTCTGATCAGGGCTGAGTTGTGGCTGGTTTTGAGGCTCATGTAACCACTGTTCATACTGTGGAGAGCTTTATTAGACTGTAACTACACAACGAAGGGATGTTTTGCTGCCTCTTTCATCAGCTGTAGTTGGAGAAAAAAATTATTTAATTCACTTGGCTGACTGCCGGCGACTTTTAAGGTGGAACATTAACTTGTAATATTACTCAATGCATGAGCTGACGATGTGAATCCAGCAACAAACCTTAAATTTCACTGTGACAACTTTGACCATTACTTTAGTTTTTATATGACATACACTTTTAGTAATGAGTGGCTCTTCAAGTGTTTATATATATTCATTTAGACCGGGACAGCAGATAGCTCAATCCTCATTCTGAGGAAAAAAAAAAAAAGTGTTGCGGAGCATCGTTCCTGTGGGCTCTGGCAACACTGAACCCCTTAGCTTGCCTGAGAAGGACTAAATGCACAAACACCTGATTTTTAAATATCCCATGGAGAGACTCTCACTGCAGCCTGTTTAATTTTGTTCTGAAAATGTTGGCGTGCAGCCTCGTTCTGTGGACGATAAACAAGACCGATAATGAGGAAATACAACAAGTGCTGGACGGAGCAGTGAGTGACAACAACCCCACCCACATATAAGGGTACTGTTTGCGGTGGAAACACTAAACAGACCAAGGGTCTAGGTACCATGTGTGAAGGGTTGCTTTTGGTTCCAAAGGTGCTATACAGAAAATGTTTGGTGGAAACGGGGCTTGACAGTACACCTCCGCTGTCACGACCACGAGCCTCTTGTCCATGAGTAGATGCACACTTCCCTCTCAAGGTGATACGAGTGGCAGGTGTAGTTCGGTAGATGGAAAATAGTCCCTACATGAAACTGCTCACAACAAGGTCTGTGGATTATCTTGAGTAACCAGGTCATGATTTCTGGAAAGAGACATTGCTGTTGAGTTTTTGAGATGTATTTTTTTGGCGCATTAAGCACCGCAAGCTGAGTGCCATCTTGTTCCATTATATTAGAGAGAAGGCAGACATCTCCATGGCCTATATCTCCAACACTCGACAACTCACACCAAAACCATCTAGATTCATAAATAGCACTATGGGTAAGAGGGAAAATATGTGTTTTTGATTTGGGGGCAAACTGTCCCTTTAAGGCTTACTTAAGCTAGATTTGTAGTGAAAAAAAGGGAAGAAAGGGAACTGCCCGGACAAATATAATAGTACAAGTTATGTTAAAAAAGAACTGAAGGCATCTGAGGCGAGGCTGTGTAAGTGTCTGTTTATCTCCAGTATGGAATGAAAGTGTTAGATTGATTATGTGCTGCAAGTTGTCCAGTGCGGTCAGGATATGCCTCCATGTGTGAGAAAGTGAGAGCAGGACAGAGAGGAGGGTGGTGGTTGGGAGAAAGGGAGCATGTCAAAGTGTGTGTGTGAGAAACTGAGTGTGTGTACAGGAGGGTGGAGGACAGCGCTGACAGGGGACAGTTGATGAGATATAATTAGCATCTGTAGTTTAGCAACCAAACATCCCAGCCCAGCAGAGGAGAGACGGCTGACACTGTCCACTGGGTTCCTCTTTGAAAGCAGTTTTCTGCTCCTTCAAATCATATAAACTCAACATATTCTCTGCTTCAAAAGATGTCTTTCCTCACTGCCTCTGTGGGTGCCATTCCTCCCACAACACCCCCTCAAATCACCCACACCACCAGGCCTCCACATCTGCTTCTCCAACAGTGGCTCATTGGGTGTTTCAGATGTGTTAGCGTGTGTGTACGTACTATGAGTGTGTGTTTGGCTGGGGTGGAGTGGTTGACCTTCCTCCCTCTCTCTCCCGGCTCTCAAACAGAGTTCCTTTGAGATGACATCTGAACAGAAACCAGTGTGCGCCCTTCCCCAGCGTCACACTGCCATTCTTCAGACCACTTTCCCTGGCCAGCTCCATCCAGGACAAATGCCTTGCCCCCATTACACCCCCCTACCTCCTCATACAGCTGCATACCATACTAGCGGAAGTTAACATCGCCTCGTCTACTCCCTCTGTTCCCTGCTATTAAGATTAAGACAGCCCCTGGGGGGGTAAGATGCAGGTCACCCAGCACAAATTACGCGTCTGTGGTATGTCCTGTAAGATGTCATGTAAATAAGTGCATCATATTGTAAAGTCTGTGACCTCCCGCAGCAGAGACATTTGTTTTTGTGCAGCTTCAGATTCATTTATTTACGACCAAAGTCTTTTCATGCATGTATCTGGAGGATTAAAAACTGGATCTGATTTACAGCATGTGTATAGTTTCTTGTGCCTTTGCTGTATCAGAGGATCGAGACCACCCTGAAATGTAATTTAAGATGCCAGGCTTCATTTCGAGGTCAGCTTTCTCAGGTTTATCCAACTCACTGCTTCCACTCATTGAGTCACCTTATTATTATTGCCATTACAAAGGATTAGACCTCAGTATTGCTAAGTCAGAAATACCACTCTTCCCACCACCCAAAGAAGATCTTTATGGATTTTTCCACTGCTTTACTGACGCTCTCAGCCTTTGGTGATTACTATTCTGCTCCAGCTTGGGAATGGTTTGTGAATTAGGAAAAGAGGGATTTATATTCCGCTTCATACCAGCTGCTTGCACCGCGGGGACTGGATCTCTCCTCCCCAGGCTCCTTGCTCTCCCTTCCTTCTCTTGAGCTCTAACAGTCAGCACCTGTGGGAAACAAGAATAAGGGAAACTTGAACTTTGGCAGTCACGGCTTTTGACTGTAGCAGCTTGTAGCCCAGATCGCATGAAAATAAAAGGATATATCTAGACAGGTAGTCATCAGAGGATGTACATAAAACTCCATTAAAAGGTGTGAAGCTCCGTTGACTCAGAGATAAAAACAGACAGGTTACAAAAGAGTGGCCCCCGCAAGACGATAAACACAGGGTGCAACGCCAGAAAAAACATTCCAAAACATTCCAGTGGTTTTGACTGACACGCCGGATGTGAACAATATACCCCCATGACATGACAATCATTCTCTGACCTCCTTGTAGTGCAGCCTGGGTGAAGCCGAAACCATGCATAGCAGCTTTCTAGAAACACTCCCCCCCCCCACCCCATTCCTTTCTCCAATTCAAGGCTCTCTAATCAATCCAAGGCTGGGAGCCTCCCTGCCATGTGATTGGGCAATGTTTTCTGTTTTCTTGCCTCTGCGACTAACACTCCCAAATCCACGGGCACACACGCCCAGTTTTTGTGGGAACAGCCATCATCTGCACAGATCACCTTAGAGCCAGACTGATTTCACGAGCCTTTTTATGTGTTCCCCCTCATGGGCAACACAGACTTGAAGCCGTAGCTTCTGCATGCGTGTCCACCAGATAAGCTGCATGACTGTGTCGTCTGATTCTCATACATTCTGCTCTGGCTGCTCAGACTCAGGCTGCTGTGTGAGTGTGGTCGACATTTTGTCGGGGGGGGGGGGGGGGGGGGGGGGGGGGGGGGGGGGGGGGGGGGGGGGGGGGGGGGGCTTCGCAGCCTAAAAACTCTGATGGGTGACCTTTGCATAATATGATAACAAGATTAGCTGTTGTTCAGTCCATTGTTTCATATTGTTGTCATGCCAATACCACAGAGGGTGGAGGGGTAGGGGGAGAAACAGACCTTTTAGACTGGAACGACAGCCAAATCACAAAGAGCCATTCATTCAGCCCCTGGTTCCACAGCTGGTTCTAATATAAAGCAAGGAGGGGCATCTCGGAGAGAGAGAGGGAGAGGGGAACGGTGTGTGTATGAGTGTGTGGTAAGGAAATTTGCCTCAAAACAAACAAACAGTTGATAGAGTGCTGTTATGGACCCACACACTGACAGAAACGGGAAGGACTGACTGATTGATATCTAGATCTTAAAGTCCCAGAGGCTCCAGAAATGCCCGGCGATCTGCACGGCTAATTGTGTGAGATAACACAGTATTACAAATGCATCTCTACCCGATTACAGAAACGTGCATGTAGACGTCAAAAACTGCTCTCAAAGGATAGGACTAAAGACAGAGAACTATGTGGCTGCCTGTGTAAGACAAATACCAAACGTTATAGGAGACAACTTGAACTCCCATCGACTCCCACACAGCACAGATGAAAACATACAGATCTCCCAAAACTGTCCGAGGCCTGAAGACTCCCACAGATCAACAAACACAGCTGTAGCTCTTCAGTTGATTTATTCAGGTAAGGGCATGGATGATATAAACGGCAAGTGATTTAGATGTTTTTAATTCGTCTGTGTTTGTGAAGATAAATCTGACGGTATGAAGATAAATTTTTGATTTATCGCCCCCTTAATAAGTAGCAACGTTTTGACAACAAATGATTAAAAATGCACCTTTTTTAATGTCTGTTTAACACAGAGAAGTTCTCAGATGATCACTGCTTCGCCAGTGCATGTGCCAGTCTCGTCGTACCGAGCTAAGTGGTGTGGCAAAAGTGTGGCGATGGTCTGAGTTCTGATGAAGAAAGGGTTACAGGAAAAGGGAGCTCCATCTTTCTATTCCCAAAGGATCCAGAAACAACCCAGTCACTTCCTCCCAGCCCAGGAGAAAGAGTAACAAGGGGAGAGCGTAACTGAGAAAGACAAAAAAAGGGGGTAAGAAGGAGAGAAGGCAGAGGAGTGCAGTACAGTATGTGAGGGAGGGTGGGAAGAGAAAAGAGTGGGAATGTGAGAAAAGAAAGGCAAAACTGCTGGAGGAGGGGGGAGAAGAAAAAAAAATGCTGCTGAGAGTTTCAGATGGAAACTTCTCGAATGAGAAGACCATGACTGTTCTCAGATTTGGACTCCACCAGTATGAATCACTGCGAATCCTGCCGCTGACACCAAGTGCAGTCTGCTGCTGTTAACGCAGGAAGAACATCAGAAAGATAACATAGGCGGCAAGAACTCCTCGCAATGAGAATATACAGTTTCAAAGGACCTTTCCTCTTAATCTTTAAGGCTCCGCCTAGAAGATTACCATCATTGGTGCATTCCACCCCTAAAAATAGTCTGACAATAGAGAATCTCTACGAGAAGCTGCACTTTGTCTTGCTAAATAAAGCAGATTGTTGTTCAGAGGTTTTACTTCTGAGAGTAACAGGCCGCAAAGGCCTTAATATAGACACGGAGGAGAGCTTTAAATGTTACATAAAGATCACAACAGGAGACACGCTTGTTGATCTATCTACTAAGACTTCTTTGTCCTCCTCCTCACTCTGCAGCACAGATGGCTTCATTCAGCCAAATGGTCCAGCATGAATAATAAATCAGAAAAAAATTACAACAAATCTCTACCCTGAACAGCTAAAGAATCCTTAATGTAGAAGCAACAACAGCCGTTTGTCACCGCACATGATGTGGCTGAGGGGCGTACGTCACTGCTTGACAGACAGGGCCTTCACCATGTGTAACAAGGCCAGATGATCTCATATCAACATGGCAATACAGTGTGTTCCTATGCTGCTGGCTGACATGTGGTTTTTTGACTAATTTGGGCTTTAAACTCAGGACAGTGAAATCATAGCCCAGTGGGACGTCCCCTCCAGGATTCTTTGCCCTTTAGCAAAAAGCCCTGTTTTCTGCATTAAGGAGTGGTGGTGTGGAGGAGCAGACGGCGCTGGGCTGAGCAGTCTGGTGCTGGCTAGAGTACGGCCAAGGGGAGGGGCCGACCAGCTCCCATTACTCCTGGAACAGGAGCAGAGTAAACACCCGCCAGTCTGCTATTGGTCATTGTGCTGACCTCCAACAGGAAACTGAGCAAGGGTGGGGTTGAGCGGCAAGGAGCGGCACCGGAAAAAAAGACAAAAAAAAAAGGTCATTTGGGAGAGAATTCCTGTGCATGTTACGGAGGCGGGGATTAAGAATGATGCCGAGCAGAGAGTCCAGAGCGCTGCACTGTTTTGAGGAAACTGCAGGGTCTGGAGGGGAGGAAGATGAAGTCCAGATGGCATTGAGACGAGTGGTGGGGAGCCGGTCAGAGCAGTGTTGGGGTTAAAAGCTCAGGCCTGTGTGTGTTGTTGAACTGATGAGAAGGCACAACACAGCAAAGCAAAGCAAAGCAAAGCAAAGCAAAGCAAAGGAAGTAACCTTACTGCAGCGGCGATGGAGTCAAGTGGTTCCCTCTCAGGGATCTAATCAATTACTTCCTGACTCAATGAGAGCTGTTGATCAAAAGACTGTGGATATAGATGCAATAAAACAGGCCCGGAAAACATTCATAAACATGTTTGTGTACTTTACTGGACAGAAAAGTCCATCTTGCTTTTCTGAGTGATTAATGTATTAAATGAGATCAAGGCGGATTATTTATGCAGATAATCACTGTCCTGAGAACCTCAAAAGCCAGATTAGACCATATGTTCACGGTAAAGTTACCATACTGGCTGCTCCAATCAATATAATCAAGTAGGAGTATTAACCCTCTGTGCCTTGGACAAATCAGGCTGATGGTACTTCTGCAATACTCAGCAGTATCTTTATCCCTACTTTATAAATTAATCAACTTAATACAATTAAGAACTTTGGGTTTAATCATCATAACATATTGTGATGATGTGATGGTACGAAAATCGATAAGCACAGGCTGATTCGGATGGTGGAAAGCAGGAATAATGACAACCTGTTGAGGTGTCTGCTACTTTGTTTTCATCTAAATGTATGTGCAGATACAATAAAAAGACAAAAACAACCTGACTGCATTTATACTCACTGAAAAAGGCCTTTAATAACATTATAGATCCTGACTTTCCTTATTTTAAAGTGATGAAAATAAAGAAGCATTAATGCCGTGTATTATTTCAGGGTGTCTACAGGTGTCAGACACTTACATTTAATGCTTTATAATGCTTTTTAATTATATTTTTAACCAAATTTAAGACAATTTTTTTTAAAATTACACATTACTGACTTGATGCCCTTTAGATTTTTGTTCAATAATAACTCATCTGTGCAATATTTTACTGCACAAAACACTCTTAATTCTCACTTATTCTACTTTTGCATTCCTATATTGTAGTATGACGCACACATTTGTACAAATTTCAAATATTTCTAAATCTTTTACACATATTTCTTCTTATATTTTCATATTTATAAGTACATATTGTGTTATATATTGCAGCATAATACATATTCTTTTCTTGCAAACCTATTTCAATATAAGACCAGCTGTAACGTCTCCCAGTTTCCCCCGGGGATCAATGAAGTATTATGAATCTTAATGCATTGCAGGTTTGTAGTATACGTCCCATGCAGAGGTAGGTTTTATGTAGGAATATGGTTATTAGAGTGAGTTACACTCCACATTTTGTCCGAAGGTAAGTGCAAATATAAAGTAGAAAGTCAGTATTGTAGGTTTAAAGACTTTCACACAGAGGAGCTGGACTCATTTTGACAAAAAAGAAAAGAAAAGATAAATAAATGTAATTACCTAAACTGTTTATGGCAACTGAGTCCTCACAAATTGGAATTTAAAGCAATTTAACATCTTTCAAAGCACTAATTTGAGCCATCTTAAGACTTTTTAAAGACTTGCAGGCACCTTGTGTTTTAACAGAGCAGTTCATTCATCATGTGGTAAACCTGTCTGGAAAAGCTCATCAGTGGTAGACCCTGGACAGGGACAGACAATCTCATGCAGGTTCATGGTGTAATTTCATTAGCCTCCCACTAAACCATTTAAATGCCCGGCGTGTGGCCCAGTGTGCAAATGGGGTTTATAACCCTGCATTCCTCAACAGCACCCCTGGGTCCAAAAGCTGTAATGAGACAATCACATTCCAGCTCGGTTTAAAAAAAAAAAAAAAAAAAAAAAAAAGGGTAAGGAAACTCCAGCTGCACACAAACCTGACTAGAGACTCCCAAACTGCAGTCTGGGGGACTCCCAGGGTCCCCCAGACACATGAGGAAGAGTCAGTTTTCACTATTATTACACTTCATATATCTCAAAACACTGCATATTGCGTTGCCTGTTTGTTAGGTACACCTGGCTAAAACTAATACAACACCCCTGCAGTAAACTCAATATCAGACTGACTACTGGAGCTACAAACCAACAACCTGCACGTGTAACGATGTGAATGACAGGACAGAGTCCTGTCTGAGTGCCATGCAGCTGCTGCAATCTTTGTCCATCCGCTGGTAGGTGATTTAATACAGCCAACAGCCCATTTCACAACAGCAGGACAGTGGTGTATTGTATGATGCAGTGTAACGGGCCGATGACTACACCCCCACATCCTGCCAACTTCTGCATGTCCTTCATCAAAACAACATCTGACGTTCTTACAGATGAATCAGGAGAGTCGACTGTACACACCATGAGACATTAGGGCAGGGCGGCATGGAGAAGATTACATACCACTTTATTTTTGACCAAATATCTTGACGTCGATACTACCATGATATTATAGGGGTGGCTGTTGGTGCTTTTGCAAAATATTTACATGATTAGATTTTTGATAATCATCTGTAATGTGGATATGATAACTAGAAAATTATATCACTTAACTGTTATGCAGCCTTTAAAACCAGGAAAGCACAAGCCCTATGTCACATAAAGCTCACTATTAAACAAACAATTGTCTATTTTATTATAAGACAAATACATATTCATGCATTTTGCCTGTTAAGACCCAACTAATTCGCTTATTAAGAGGCATCAGTGAGGGTCATCAGTTAGTCTGAGGAGCAAAATGAGGTTAAATAGAGTTTCAAGTGCTTTTACACTCCTCCTGTCCGGCTGACACACAACAACTCCATCAATCCTCATCCATCTTCCGAGGATATAAACTCCCCTCAGTGACCACTGGCCGGCTACAGGCGGCGAGACAAGCAAATTTGAGGGCAAGAAGCGGCAACGAGAAGCTGACGAACATCTGGAAGTAATGAAAACTTGCAGAATGCACGGACCCACCCTCTCCCCTGAGTCTCCAGTCTTCACTGAGCTTTCTATTTTTTATATAATGAAATTATAAAATGGTTAGATTGTTGCAACAGATCATGTGTGAGGCATGAGGGGGGAAAGTTTCATAATGAAAGGCACACAAACACCCAAATGTGTCGCTCGTTCATAAATGACGTGTGCATGGGGGAAAGATTTGGCAATGCAACATACAGTAAGATCGCTGCAACAAACTCCTGCTGTAATCAATGTGGACAAAAGTTGAGGTCGCGTGGCACAATCCTCTCTGCACGAGCCCTCTGTGAAAACAATGCAGACTGTACATGGTGCATATAACAGGGATACTGTATGGAAAACGCACAGCTTCTGTAGGCACTATTTTCCTGTGTTATCATAAACAAACCCAATTAAATGTAGGGTCGCTGTAAAGCCACGTTTCAACTTGACAGACTCACTTTAAGTTCATAAAGAAATATTGTTATTATTATGATATTATGGGGTTTTTCGTTGACGCCGTGCAGCCTGAGTTAGCCTCAAATGATGCTCTGAACAAAAAGACACGCCACCGTGAGACTCAGTTAACTCCAAGCCTGAATAAATACTCGTGTTAAATTATGAAACCTAATTACCCCGAGCAGCAGGTAGTATTATAGCTGAAGCTTGAGTGTTTTTTTGTGGATAAAGGACCCGTTACTTCGCACAGAGACGACCGGGGGGAATGGGCAGGACCGACGCTTTCACAAAAGAAGTCCCACTCCCGAGAAGGCGCCTCATCTGGAGCGCTCCAAAATACCAGTCTGACAACAGAGAAGCCGAGACAGTTTTCAAACCGAGGAATTGTAACTTATTAGCTGCTCTTACCTGCCCTCTAGAAATCCTTTCAGCCGCCTCGGCCCAGGAGCGCTCACTGACAGAGAGACAAAAACACCGCAGCCAAGATGCTCCGCGCCCCCTCCCGCTCCTCTTAAAGGGCCAGCGGCCACGAGGCCAGGCCGGGCAGGGAGCTCACGCTGTGCCTCCATCACCTCTCACAGGGGGGCTCCAGTCATCTCACAGGCCCTCATACACCTCCAAGGATCCATGCTTCTTAATGAACCTACAAGAAATAACTTTAAAGGAATCAAAACACCTCCACCAACACTATATGACTTTAAAGGCCATTCAAGGACCTCAAATCCAGTTGCATAGGTTTAATTTCAACATGGCAGCAACACTTAACCTCCTGAGACCCTGTGTCCTCATATGAGGACATCACATTTTGGGTTTAGCTGATCTCACATTTCATTCTTCTTAACTTAGACCTGTTGTCCTCGTTCGTGGACACTTTTTGTGCCATCTAGTGGTAGTAAGACCACAATACACTAATCCATGTAAAAACAAGATGGAGGCCATCTCTGCTAAGTCAGTCTGCAGCAGATCCTGACACCAAAGTGGACAAGGTCAAAAACCTGATCACATTTAATGGTTGAAACTTGTTTATTTATGATTAATAATGTTTGTAGTTTGATATGGCAACAAATTTGGCCAATTTTAGCAACAGTAATGAGCTAAGAAACTGTAAGTTAATCGTTTGAAGACAGTGGGACTTTATCAATGTCTCATTTGAGGATATTGGGACTTAATTATTGTTGACAATATTTAGTTTTTAATACTTAGAGTCCTACCGATCCCAAACAGCTAGGAGAAATTAAAAATGTGTACCAAACAAAAGTTCAGGTCCCAGGAGGATATGAAACGGAATATTTGGGGGTCCTCCATGAGTAAATTTTGAGCATCACCCACTTGATTACCTACATTCCTACACTGCATCAATTTGTGCATTTCTGCATCAATTAATGTCTTTGATTTAGTTGAATATAAAGTCTTCGGTGAGTGTATGTCCATAGGTGTCCCCTGCACTGCTGCCGTCAGCCCCAAAATCTATGGCCACGTCCATAGGTTTAGATTTTAGAGGGGATGCAGGGAACACTTCCTCCTAAATATTTACAACATGTGCATTCATCCCCTCCCAGTAAAACATTAAAGTAGCAAAGACGATATTAAAAACATTTACACCATAAATCAGTGCAAAGAAGGCAGAAATTGGTGCATAAAAACTTTTTTATTAAAGAAAATTAAGTGTTTAATGCTGAAATTTTCTGGCGTTGGACCCCCAACCCCACCTTTTCACGTGTCCCTCTCAGTGATGCTATGAAATCTACACCCTTGCCTATGTTCATGGCTCTTTACGGACATGAAGAACCTCCAAGGATCTGTAGGCTTCCACTGAAGCTTCTGTACTGTTATTAAGACCTCTTACTTAAGTAAAAGCATCAATACCTCAAGGTACAATTACTCCACAACAACATGAATTCAAAGTTCTTACTTGAAGGGACAGTTCAAGAGTCTTCATCACAGACTTTGAGATTCACAGTTTGAAACTTAATATTTACAGTAAGATTTTTATTCACTTCTCCACATCAACTAAACCACAGTCCTGAGTAGTGGCACCTGAGTGATCCTGTTCACTGGAAAACTTCCACTTCTGCTGGACTGATCCATCACAAGTCTTTGAGAAGTACCTGGAAATAAATGCGGGGCCTTCAATCTGGTAAAATTAGACAAACATTGCAGGCTATAATACAGATCATCCTACCGCCACAGGAAATTAAGACTAATGGTATGGAAAAGGAAGGCTAGGAAGACATCTGGATCAAATACATCGTTGCCCTGTCTTGATAACCATGTAACAGAAACTTAAGTGAACAGTGCAGGCCTGTGTCAGTGTAGAGAGCAATGAGATTTAGCACAGGGCCTGAAGTGCTGAGGTTTTTAGGTTGCATGTTTTATGTCTACCAAAAGCTGTAGTAGGTGAACTAATCAGTGAGTCACAAATTGTTTTCAGCTGTTCTATCAGGTAGTTAACAGCAGGTAATTCACCACAGAAATTTACCAGGTGTTGGTTAACAGACACTGGGGTAGTAGGTCGGTAAATATTACAGACACATACCAATATATTTTTCCATGCACATTTTTGTCTCAGACATGAACTCTTTAATCTAAGAATCTGTGGCAAGTAGCATGACATAACTTTAACTACCATCACTATACGAGTTGCGTTAAGTTACTTGAGTTGGTAAACGTGTGAGATCAGGTAAGACAGGGGAGCAGGACAGTGTTTGCTTTATTTACCTGTTTTCTGTTTATTTTTCATGTACTGTATATTAAGTCTTCATCCATCCATCCGTCATTTTCTGCTCATCCAGGATGGGTCATGGGGGCTAAGCATGGCATTCCAGACGTCCCTCTTCCCAGCAATGGTTTGCAGCTCCTCCTGGGGGATGCCAAGGTGTTCACAGGCCAGATGAGATATACGATTCTTCCAGTGTTTTCTTGATCTACCCCAGGGACTTCTACCATTTCGATATGCCTAGAAAACCTCTAACGATAGGCACTAAGGAGGCATCCTGATCAGATGCCCGAACCACCGCAACTGGCTCCTATCGACGCGAAGAAGCAGCCATCTTCTCCGAGCTCCCCCTCGGCTGTTTGAGCTCCTCACACAAACTCTAAGGCTGAGGCCAACCACCCTACAAAGGAAACTCATTTTGGGCACTTATATCCTCAATCACATTCTTTCAGTCAATAATCAAAGCTCATGAGTACTGGCAAGGTCTGGAATTGTAGGTGGGCCAATTAATCGAAAGCTTTGCCTTCTGGCTCGGCTCCTTCTTTATTACTGCCGATGTCGCACCAAACCGCCGATCCATCTCACGCTCCATTCCACCCTCACTCGTGAACAAGATCCTAAGATACTTGAACTCCATCACTTGGGGCAGTAACTCTCTCCCAACTCAGAAGGGGCAATCCACTGTTTTTCAGCAGAGAACCATGGTCTTCGACTTGGAGGTGCTGACTCTCATCCCGACTTCTTCAAACTTGACTGCAACGACCCCATTGTGTGCTGGAGGTAACGGTCCAATGACGCCATCAGAACCACATCATCTGCAAAGAGCAGAGCTGCAATTCTGAGGTCCTCAAACCGGACACTCTCCTTCCCCCGGCTGCATCTTGAGATCCTATCCATGGATATCACAAACCAAATTGGTGTCAAGGGACAATCCTGGCAGAGGCCAACACCCACTGGAAATGAGTTTGACCTAGTGCTGAGTATACGGACACTGCTCTCACTTTGGTTAGTCTGAATCTACCATAGACCTGGGGCCTCATTACAGAATATTCCTAACTCTAACATCCTATCTTCTCAGTTAAGGATGACATTTAGGATTTTTGTTATTACAGAAACATGTTTTCTAACTGCATTTAGGGAGAAATCCTGTCTTATCTTGGAATAGGAATTTAGCTATTGGAGACCCATCCTAACTTAGAGACTTTTTAAGTTAGGAATCCTGAGTTAGGATGGCATAGACCCTGTCCTAAATTCAAATGACTAATGAAAAGGATGGGTGCAGCACTGTTGTAAGGTCTGTATGAAAATGACAATGAGAATGGGGACCAACATAGCCACCGAATTATAATAATTGAAAGCCGATTCAAAACATTTGTTTATGCTTTAAATTTCCCTGACCATGTATTAATTGGTATATATGTATTTTATCGACGTATAATGTTTGGCTCTGGAGAGGGCGACAAGGAGGCATTGGGCTCAGCTAGTGGACTTACATATCACAAATTTTTTTTCTTGTTATGGGACACTTCCAGCCTAATAGAGACATAATCACATCCCTCCAGTTTTAGCCTCTTTACACTGGCTCCCAGTATGTTTTAGATTTTAGGATTTTACTGATTAAGGCTCTTCATGGTCTCTCTCCTAGCTATATCTCTGACCTCTTAGTGCTGGACACACCAGGATGTACTTTGAGGTCCTCGAGCAGAGGTGTTTTGTCTGTTCCAGGGGCCCGGCTGAAAACTAAAGGGGACAGAACGTTTGCTGTCAGGGCCCTGAGGCTCTGGAACGGTTTGCCCGAGGAAATCAGGTTGGCCGAGTCAGTGATCTCTTTTTAAGGCCCTCCTTTAAACATACTGTTATCAGCGAGTCTTTCCTGATTTTACTTGAGTTTTAAGTTCATTTTACCTGTCGTTTATTTACTCTGTTTTTATATACTTAAGTGCTTTATCAGTTCTTTTAAAAGTTGTTTTCACGTCTTGTTTGTTTTAGTTATTGACTTTGTAATGGTTCTGAAAAGCGCTTTATAAATACAGATTATCATCACTGTTATTATATAGGATGAGTGCTGATTGAAAACTCAAATTTATAGCTCTAGTTAGGATTTCTTGGATTAAGATGAGAGGTCTGAGACAGGATAGGACAAAGCCACGAGTTTAGGAATTGTTTGTGCAACAAGATAGGATTTTTCCTGTCTTGAAACTTAACGAAAGATAGGACAAGCAGTTAGGATATTTTTCTACGAGGCCCCTGATCACAAAAAACTAATTCACAACAATAAAACATTTGATTCTGCTAACATGAACTTCTATTATACTACAACAGAAATCAGAAATCTAACAGTACGTCGCTTGTGAAATGTTAATTTGATCTTACATTACAGATACTACACAGGGCTAAAACCTTTAAGGAAATATTACAAATCTGTACACAAATAAAAGCTGACCAGAGGCGTAGGAAGAAAAATTTAATAGAAGACAGTAAAAAAGACAGTGTAAATAAATAAAAAAAATGCTGATCTAATTGGTAAAAAAAAAAACAGTTTCCAGCCTCATAAAATAACAAAAGCGTGGATACTTTAGTAGTTACAGTGTTAATGTGCTGCAGTTTGTTTACAATAGTGCAATATAATAGATACAGTAGTTAGAAATAGCTACAATGAATATAAATCTGCCACAACCAGGGTGTTGGACACTTAGGAGACATTTGGAGTGCTTCTTGACAACAGTTCAAACTCGGTCAAACGAGGACTCGGCTTATACCACAGACAAAATGA